GACGGACGACGACGACGACGACGGACAATCACTCATATGATAAGCTCCGCTCGACAAAGTCGACAGCGGAGCTAAAAAGTTGATTTTGGTGGCAACAAGGGAACACAGCAATTCTATTGTGCTTAGCTGCAGAAATGTCGTGCTTGTTGATTGTAACAAAACAATATGCAAATTAGCCACCGTGCTTGGGTGCTCAGCTTGCAATGGGTACTCTCCAGGGTTCGAAACACTTTTGTAAAATTTGTAAAAGCTATATCTCAATAATAAATATGAATAGACCCACTACCAGTGTTCACACTGTTCTGTGCATGTTGTTTTCAGTCTGTGTAATGGGGGGCATGAAACCTGACATGCACGCCACATGCATTTATGAAATACTTACAGCCCACACACGAGGTGCATTTTCTATTTATTTTTTAATATTTTCTCGTCACTCTAGGGAAGAGAAAGAATGGCGTAGCTGGGTTGATAGCGTATTTGTACATACTCTATCACCAAATGTTTACAGAACACCCTCAGAAGCAGTCAAAGCGTTTGATTACATTAGTGAAACGGGAAAATTTAGCACAGTCGAGAAATATATCGCAAAGTACGTGGGTGCTGCTGCAATGTATTTTATCAGTAAATTACTGAAGAGGAAGTAAGTACTGTCATTGTCAATTTGTCATTGTATCGCAATAAGTGTCGATATAGAATGAGTATTCAATAATTCTGGCGCACATTTTGAAAATGAATTGCATAAATAGTAAAAATTTCAGTTTCATTATCATTCAAAAAATAAAAAAAATTTTTCTTCAAAATCTTGATAGAAAATTATGTCCATTTGGTCCTAAAATGTTACACCAATATATCCCATGATGCAATGCGAGAAAATTCTCCAAGATACTGACATAAAATGTTTTTTTTTTCTTTTGAGGTGGAATTTAAAAGATGATGTCAGGCAGTCGCTGTACGAAGAAGCTGATAAATGGATGCAAGCTGTTGGTCCCGATAGAGATTTTATGGGAGGGGATCTTCCAAATCTAGCAGACTTGGTAAAAAATGTTATATTTGTCATGCTCTCAACATTGGTTTAGATAATCAGTGTGTGAGAGCTTCTAGACTATTACCGAGTCCCAGAGCACCTGTTTATAGATTTAAATCTGTTGAGAGATAAAAGTGGAAAAGCTTAAATGGCGGTGGTCATCATGCTATGCATGCACAAGATATGTATCTCGTATGAATAAAGATGGTGACTTTGATTGGTTAAGCTGTAACTCGGTAATTTCTGTGGTAATTGGAAGGTATCAAACAAGTCAATAACTGTAAATACTTGTAGTGCATATTGAGCCTGGGTCAAAATTTGTGTGCAATGGATTGTGGGAAAATACAAAATGTGACCACCGCCGATTAAAAGTTTAGTTTTGTGCAAAATTGATAATGGAGGTCAGATCTCTATTTTAATGTTAGTGATCACTTGTGAACATCTTGTTTGCGCAAAAGGGGAGCTAAACAAAATGACGTAGGTGAAAGAAGTGAATTATCACAAAGCTGATAGCATCAGTGGATTATCCTAAAGCACCTATGTATCAAGTTTTATTGAAATCTAATGAGTGGTTCTTAAGATATCAGTGGAACAACTGAAAATTGGCTAATTAATGTAAAATACTTTTTCGCTGAAGGAATGCTTTAGTTAAATTAAAATCCAGCAAATATACTTTTTTTCCTATATTTTAACATTCATCTCGTCAAAATTCAGTGAAAATAAATTCCTTACAAAATGTCTTTTAATCAAAAAATTAATTCCAGGTAAAATAAAGTAGTCTACAGTAGGCAGTTTAGATAATTAATATGTAAACTTATGTATCAAGTTTTATTGAAATCTGTGAAGTAGTTCTTGAGATATCCATGCACCAAGTAAATATTAATTTTATTTGGTTTCCTTGCAGGCTATGTATGGAGTACTGAGTGCTATAGAGGGATTTGATGCTTTCAACGATTTACTCGACAATACGTCAATAAAACCCTGGTACAAGAAAACAAAACAAGCAGTCGCTTCTCATGCTGGAGCCAACTGATTCAAGTCAAGAATTTTGAGTCTGAGCAATCAATTTAAATGACTAAAATTCATTGTTACATCATGTTTACTAAAAACAACTATATTTGGTTTCATTTGCACAGGGAATCTCTACCGAAAACATTGTTGCTATCACATTGATTGCCCAGTTGAATTCAAACAATTTCTCTTTTAACACCATTTCTCGTCAGTCCCCCCCCCCCCCCCAGTAGAAACTGTTCGATTTACTTGTAAATTGACAAGAGCAATCAGGTCATTGATTCAGAACTGATTATCGGTCTTCTTTGCAATTATCTGCTAGTTGTATTTATAATGAGATTGTAAATCACGATGGAAACATAAAACCTGAAACCGTATACTTGTACATACCGGTATATACTTACATTTTGTTTTGTTTTTTCATTAGTTTTAATGGATTACAACTTACCTTTGTTGCAATAACAACCTTTGTATTCAAAGAATGCAATAAATTGACTAATTTGTTTGCTTTAGACCTCGATTTGTGCTTTTCAATCACCCAATTTGGATGAAAGGTCTCAATTTTTTCACCACCACAACTCTCTTCATAACAAATTGATGACTTCGTCCCGTCCCCGGAAGATTGGAACAAAAACTGCCAAATTTTTTTAGTAAAAACTGACAATTGACTCAAATTTTGTCTATTGGCTCCAAAATTAGGGTTCATTTCCAGAGATATTGAAGAATGCAAGAAAAAAGTGCAGAAAAATTCTATCGTGCAAACATTGCAATTGACAAAGTGTTGCAGGGCCAACCAACTTGTTACAGTCCACACGTTCTAAAACAGCAAATCGCGTCTTAGAACCTAAATGTTTTCCAATTGATAAATCTTGTTGAAGTAGAACTGGTTAGATGTAGTGATGTGTAAACACTGTTTGCTGCAGTTGAAAAGCAAACAAGAGTTTTCTTCCTACATCAAATTTTTTCATGTAAAATGAAAGCTCACCAAAAAAAAAAATCAGGAGCGGTGGTTAATCGCAGTATTCGGTCGGTCCTTTAAGTGTGAAATGAGCAAATGTCTAAATTCCCAGACACATGATCACACATTGTAAAGCAAATACAGCTGAATAAGGTATTTAATAGGTTCCAAAATAGCAAACCTCAAATCAATGGTAATTTATAGTGCTGTGGGTTACCACTTAGACGAACTGGTAGTTGTATCGTAATAATGGGTAAGGTTGCGTTGTTACTCGTGTCATTTTTTGTGTACGACACCAACAGTTATAAAGACAAACAGAAACAAGTCATTGTCAATGACACGTCCCCGTTCCGTTCATATTTGAGTGACGTATACATTCAAAGCAGATCATGACCGAAATGCACCTGCATATGTACATTGTGCTAAATCTGAACAAAATCCATTCATGCATGACTGAGATCCGGTTCTGGAATTGTGAAAATACGCCATCATTCCGCTATTGTTAAGCAGATCATGAAACAAATGCACATATCTATTTGTGACATGATGTACTATGTGTGTGTGAAGTTTGAACTTGATCAATCCAGACATGTCTTGGATACGGATCCAGAACTGAATTCTTTAACAAAATGGCCGCCAGTCGGCCATTTCGAACTTGATCCGAAAAAAAAAAGACGTGCATCAAGGTCCTATTATGTTTAATGTATGTACCAAATTTGAACAAAATCCATCCATGCATAACTGAGATACGGGTCCGGAATGGTGAAAATGTGCGATTTTGATGCATTTTCGGCCTTAAAATGGCCGCTATTCGGCTATCGTTAATCGGATCATGTAAAAAATGCATGTGCATATGTCCCATATAATGTGTGATGTATGAGTGAAGTTTGAACTTAATCGGTCCATGCATGTTCGAGATACAGGTGATCACGGACGCACGCACACAGGGCAAACCATAAGTCCCCGTTTTCGGACTGCGTCCGAACGGGGACTAAAAAAGACGTGCATCAAGGTCCTATTATGTTTAATGTATGTACCAAATTTGAACAAAATCCATCCATGCATAACTGAGATACAGGTCCGGAATGGTGAAAATGTGCGATTTCAATGCATT